ATTAATGCTGAAATGAACATATAACTGGTGATAAATGATATTGACCTAAGCAGCCATAACCCCGCAATTAAGTAACGTTGACAAAGAGACACAGTTCACGTAGTGATTAAGTTTCACAGAACTGTCAATTATGAGGGCATAACTGGAAGTCTTAAATCCTGTAACAGTCCTCGATATAAACTAGGCAGGGCACGTCTTACCCTCATATGGCTAGCTATAGTACATCGTCGTCAGCTTGCCTTACAAGGAACTTGAGCCTCGAAGGAAACTGTCTGTTTCCCACAAAGTCTTGCAGCCTCTCTGCTGCTCTGTGCTGCACACTGGCATCAGATGGTGTCATATCTCTAGGTAGAAGCAGAATCAAATGGCATCAATGAATATGCCTCCCCCCCATATATATGTATATACAGTCAAAAGTCATTAATTTGGACACCCATAATCCGGAATGATCTATAATCTGGACCTCAAAGCTAAAAACTTTCTGCACGTGCGGCGCGTTGACACATGCGCATAGGCGTTTACGCGTGCACGTAAGACCTTTTACGACTGCGCATATGCGTGTGAGCAAGCTCAGAAAACGTTTTCGCGTGCGCGTTTCATGTATAACGGACGGTATAAGCTAAAATTATCTAATTATCTATTTCAGTTAATGTTGATGATTGCGTAGTTCCTTAATCTTCGAATTGGATCCGGCTTATTATTTTGCAGCAGACTGTAAGAGCAATTTTATAAAAGTAAACTTTAACTTTCGATTATGTCAAATGGAATTTCCGATTCTGGAGCTCCCAAAGGATCGTACAAAACGAAAGTATGTTTCGATGTCCATCAAACAAAAAGTGGAATTGCTGCAAAAAATGGATAAAGACATGAAGAATGTGACAGAGAGGTTAGTGAAAACGAAAAAATTTCAATTGAGAAGTTAGTCGGTATTCTCGGCACAGCAATTAACGGGACTTGAACAGCGGAACTTTGTTGAAACTGAACAAGAAATTATGTCTGTTTATAGAATTAAAAGAGAAAGTATTATCACATAAAACGAAGCAACTTAAACAACTTACATTGAAAGAAATGTTTAATAAAGTAAACAAATAAATAATCATCTATGACATGTCGCCAAATGGTTGTTTTTTTTTTTTTTTTTTTTTTTTTTTTTTTTTTTTGTAAATTTTGATACCCTTTAGATTATAATTGTTCTTTATTTAATAAATTTTGGTTTCATATTTTTAATTTTATAATTTCTGCATGCCATCTTACGAGATTTAAACTGATGATCTATAATCCGGAAAAATCGATAATCCGGAATCGCCGAAGTCCCGACGAGTCCGGATTAACGACTTTTGACTGTATATATATACAGCCAAAAGTCTTTAATCCGGATTTGTCAGGGCTTTGGCAATCTCCCCCCCGCGCAGAGCAACGTAAAATTGATAAACAGATTTCGGAATGGTTAGAGAAACAAAGGATATGCCTTTATCCATTTTTTTTGCACCAATTCCACTTTTTGTTTGATGGCCATCGAAACATACTTTCGCTTTGTAAATCCTTTGGTAGCTACAGAATCGGAAATTCTTTTTGTCATAATCGAAAGTTCAAGCTAACTTTTATAAAATTTCTCTAACAGTCTGCAAAAAATAATAAGCCAGATCCCATTAGAAGATTAAGGAACAATGCAATCTGCAACATTAACTGAAATAGATAATTAGATAATTTTATCTTAGCTTATACCATCCATTATACATTAAACGCGCATGCGTAAAGGTATTATGCGTATGCGTAAATGCATTATGCGTTTATGAATGCGCAGAAAGTTTGTAGCTTTGAGGTCCGGATTATGGATGTCCGGATTAAAGACTTTTGACTGTATATATATATATATATATATATGATAGCTGTAATGGATTGCAAACGGTGTATTACATTTACGTAACTTAGCAAGGCATAATTAGAAGAATGACAGTTGTAGCCAAATTCAAAGTAATTTTATTATTAGATAAAGCAATTCTTCAATATTTGATTCAGTATTTGAATCCATATCATTATGGGTGCAATATGCATTCCACGATTTTTTATAGCTTAGCAGATCTTTAGGCAGTGGACAATATAGTTATTAGTGTATATGTTATAGGTATGAGTGACGCATACTAGCATAAGTAAGGGAAAGTGGGAAAGGGATAGCACATTTAGAAGAAGCATGAGAGAATTGTAAAAATGTTTTGGTTCTTAATCTGAAATTTTAGTCAGTGATCGGGTAAAATATAACTGCATTGCGGCGTGTAGTGCGAGATGACATGTTGTGGATTAATTTTGAAATGAAACAGTTAAGATTGCTATGTTTTGAATATTTACTATTTTTTAGGACAGAAAGGGGAAATCTCCAAATTAAAATGAAGAATGTAAAAGGACTGTTGCCATATGTAAGAGTTGAGGAGTTTGAAATTAAGATGATAGTCGAATGCAGTATCTGAAAAATTAATTAATAAATTAATCAAGAGATAAACATTAAATAAAAATTAAATTATGAAAGGTGGGCTGCGCCCCAAAAGGAAGGGCCTAAAACAAAACCATAAACATTTCAAAATAAAAAGCAATTAAATTTTAAATAAAAACACAATTTATTCGCCAGTATTACACAGGAAAGTTCCAAAGACATATTTACAGTGGTCGAAAAACTACAATAAACACGCAGAAACAATCAGTAACACAGCCTTCAGGCTATAATGGTGAAAACAGCTTTACGGAAAGCACTCAAGTACAGTTTCTGACTCGGTTCAGTCACTTTCAAGCTAATCTCTGAACTCAAGACACTACTACTGAACTCAACATACTGCTTAGATACTCTCCCGATATTCCGCATATGAATAGAGCATTTATAGCTTTTGACCTAACTTTGAGAACATTCTTGGGAACACCGGTAAGAATTTCTTCTAGGATGTTCCCACGCCATCTATGGCATGTCGCCAAATGGTTGTTTTTGTGCCGAATCTGGCAACCCTGCCTTTTTTTTGCAAAAAATGGATCTCTCTACCTAGCTCAGCAGGTGCAACTCTAACCTAGCTCAGCAGGTGAACATTTCGTAACATTATATATATATATAGTTCGTAAAAAGAATTCCACTGGGAAAAATAAAGATCAGTGTGCTATACAAATAAATTAAGAGCAATGAGCTAAATTTTAAACAAATGAAATAAAAAAACTGCTAAAAAAATATAAATGAAAGACGACTGTTTTAAAACATAGTTATTTATATGCTTGAAATGTAATATGTTGGAAATTGAGAAAATAAAATTGAAGTAGTGAATTCAAATAAATTAATCATTTTAAATAAATTAATCTGAAAAAGAAAGTAAAATCTGAAGGAAGAAAAGTCTGTGTTGCTATAAAAAACTTTGTGGTTTATGTATGGAGGGAATATGTGCAAAGTAAAATTAAAATGACCTAATGTGTAATTTTTAGAGAATTAAGCTAATAAAACTGAAAGGAATTAGTTTATTAATATGTGTGATTTTTAGATATTGAATTTCTTAGTTAATGCAATCAAGTGAAGTACAAATATTTTTTATTCTTGGTATGTGGTTGATAATGGTGTTTTCAAAAACTTTTTTGGAAATATTGGAATTCTAGTGAATAAGTTGAATAGTAGGACAAAAATTTTAATTACTGTTGAGAGTTTTAATGTGCAGGTAATTAATTTCAAAATTATTGGAGTTGGTTTTATTAAGTTTTACACTTAGAATAAATGTTGGCTGTTTCATTTAACTCATTAAAAGTGATAAGGTTTTCAGTGTATTTAAAAAAGTAAGATTAAATTTATCAATTTGATCATAATTTTTATAAAATTGGAAACAGGATTATTATTTGTGGGATTGCAATTAATTTCTATGAAAATTTTATAATTATATTTGTTAAAATTTTGCAAAAATGAATATTTAAGATAGGTTATCCATATATCTAAATTCAATATGTTTACTGAGTGCTGGAAATAATTCGGAAAGATGGGTTATATATAGTGTTGCATACTTACAGGTTTGTAATATATTGAATATACAAGTCTGATAATAGGTTAATAAAATTTATTTTATCAAAAGAAATATTTCAGAACTCTCCAATTTTCTGCAGAAGTAATCATACAGGTGTCATGGTGTCACACAGTACAACAAATAGTTATGCTTCAAAGTACTAAAAGCAATTCAAACTTCAAAAATACACTGCAATGCAAAACACATCTAAAGAGAAAGCTAACTCGGATATCTTAGTTCACACGGAAGTAAACAACTCACAACAGCAATACGTGAGAGCAGTTATTGTTGCTGTGAGTCCGTCTTCGTCCTTAAATAGTTTTTCAAGCGGCCGTGAGATATTTCTAGTACTTTCTGCTTCTTGAAATTACTGGAAAGAAATATGAGGGTGAAATTACAGTTACAGCTAACATCGTGGTCAATTAACATTTAGTCAGTCTCAATGCATATTATGGTGATGCAGAGACTGAACCAAATGGTTTCCAAACCTGGCTACTTTTGGCCATTTCTTGCCGAATTTGGCGGCATGATAAGTTGTCAAAAACGTTGTCAGCTTGGTGATGTCGCCAAATTACCATGATACCCATTTACTCAATGTTAAACGTACTTGCTTGTGTATTCTCACTTTTCCATCATAGCTTCCTCTTAAAATTTGTCTTGTGCTACATTACACAGAAAAATACAACAATTTTACATATAATTCTACTAAAAGTATCTAAGTACAAAATTTGTAACAATATATATTGTTGAGTGTAATGTTGTATTTGTTGTTTGTATATATATATTATGCTCTTGTTGAGAATGAGACGTTTTTTAAGTATTAACTGCTTAATAATTTCTTTTACTATGTTATTTATTGCATGCATGTATTTATTTTTAATCTAACTACATTCTAACATTGTTAATTGTTATGTATAGATAGATCATAATTTTTATAGCATTATAAATTTTATATATATAAATTTATGCATTTTTCTTCAATAGTCACAAGATACTCCTTCAGGAAAAGGCAGAAAAAATATTAAAAAAATAATATCAGAGAAAAATTTAGCTCAAGAAACAAAAGAAGCCCAACTAGAAGAAAGTGAAAGGAAAAAAAGGGTTCTAGAAAGGCAAAAATTGGTATGCATTTTCACTGTAACAAATTCTTTATCAATATAAAATTGATATCATTGCAAGATATTTGAATCCTCTTTCATTTACTTTTTGTTGTATAACACTTCAAAGTCATACATATTTATAGTGAATTTATTTGAAATGAAGTATTAGTGTGATGGAAAGTGAGACACTGCTAATCAACTGAATTAGAGGGTTTTCTTAATGGAATAGACATTTTAAATATGGTTTGGGTGTTTTACTTATGTATAAAAATGTCATGTGTATGCAATATGAATTCTGAATCTCTAGTAGTATATTAGTTGTCATCAAGCATAAAAATTATATTTGAAATACATGAAGCATTTTTATTTGAAACAGTGTGTTTAATTTTAATTAAATATAAATATCTTTTTAATTATATCTAGTATTATTATTAATAAACCCAGTCTTAATGCTGTAATTGTTGATGGTAATAAAAAATAGTTTTTTTGATCAAAGTAAACAGTTCTGGTAAATTGCATATTTTTATTATTTATTTATTTATTTTTTTTATTTTTTTAAGGGGGGGAGTTAAAATGAAAAGTCTGGTATATAATCTAAAATGAACAATTTGGAGAAAATTGTTCATTTCAAGATATATAAGCAAATGACGCTCTAATAATACATTGTATGGAATTCCAATAATTTGCAAATCCCTTCAATCTTGGCGTATTTTTGAACCTACATAAACAAAGTTTTGAGTTTCAGAAAATTCAGTTCTGGGATGAATTTATTGACAGTTTTTGTTATACATATATGCAAATTAATTTTTTAACAAAATAAACGCTTTATTAATTGCTTATTTTCATTGGAAAATTTAATTACCATATTTGTCGGTGTATAAGACACACTTTTTCTCTTTGAAAATAGATCTGAAAAACGGGGTGCGTCTTATACGTCGATACTCATATTATCCGGAGCTATGCATATTTTTCCTTGTTCCGGACGTGACAGAAAGCTATACTTCCTTTTAATTAGTAAGAATGCGATTACAAATATCTCAACACCTTTTGGCGTGTGGAAATATTACAGTTAAATAGAGTTCAGTGAATGTGCATGCGCTGTGTTTGATAATCACAGCTGGGTTCGTTTAAACTTTCTAATTTTTGTGAACGACTTTTAAATGCGTGAAATTTCTACTGTTGAATTTTTTAAAATTTGTTGCCAGTTATGGCTCAAAGAACAACGTCGGAATTGCGATAACATAGTATACAAGCTACGTTTGATTGCGTATGCTAAAGAACATGGAAACAGGGCTTCAGAGAGGCATTCGAGCAACCCCCAGCTGAGAAAATGATAAAAACTTGGCAGAATCAGGAAGAGGATCTAAAAAATACAACTTACAGTTAACATAATCTACAAAGGGTAACTGCACAATGGCCTGAGCTTGAGGCTAAGCCGAATATTTGGATTTCATTTTAGATACATCTCTACTTTTAAGGGTACATTTAATAATTTTCTAAAATTAATTTTAAATACATCGATCTGTCTGATACTTATTTACAAAGAATTTATTTCTGAGTTCAAATTTTACATCTCTAAGCCTTATCGAAACTTCTTTTTATTTATTTTTTAATAATCCATGCAAATAGAAAAAAATTCTTCAGAATGGCATTTATTGAGATTTTTTTTAAATGAAAAATGGGAAAATGTCAAAGAAAAAAGCCTAAATGATGCAGAATTTTTTAAAAGTAAAATCCAAAATTTCAATTCTAACAAATTTTTTGTATTACTGCTAACAGATAAATGTAATGAAGGGAAGTAGCAAAGGTACGGTGTTTATGAACAGTATTATTTACTTTCACTATAATTTAAGAGCATAAGAATATTTTTTTAAATATTTTCCCTGGTGGATATGCAGTTTTTATATATGTCAAATATTTCAGTACATTTTTTTGTAAAAGAGGTCTTTCATTCTCTAGGAATTCCCTCTCATTTCTTTCTTTCTCTCTGCTGTATTTCCCTCTTGTTCTGACATTATTTCTGTTTAATTTATTTTTCATGTCTGTTAAACCTGAATTATTTTATTCATGAGTTTCTTGAAATAGCAGATTGTGAATAATTATTGATTTTGTAGCAATTGGCACTCATTATTGAAAGTGAAAATGAAACAGACTTTTCAGGTTTTAAAAAATCTCATGCAAAAGTTTGCTGAAACTTTACCAAAAAAAAAAAAAAAAAAAAAATGGTATTTACCTGTGCTTTTAAGAAAAGAACATGCTTTAGATACGATAATTTTCAAAGGTGAGGTTCCTATTACATACAGTTGACTGATGATGGCATTGTTTCAAATGTGTTTAATCCAGTTGATAAAAATTCAAGACCCAAATCTGATAATGAGAAAGCAAAAATTACTGTCGATGGGAGTTAAGCAGTAGACCAAAAATATCTAAATTTTCCCAAAAAACAAAATTTTATCATACACCGGAAAATAATGACAATACCTAGACTTTAAAATAATAATAATGATGAAAGAGAAACTTAAAATGCTGAAACAAGCAACCATGGATTGTCCACAAATATAAAATTAATCATTTATTATATAAATGCGTGTGTATAATTATATTTAAAAATAAGATTGTTTTACATTTAAAAATTCTTAATATATCAACATGAGATTGTTTTAATTATTTATGTGCAAATAATCTAAATATTTTTTTTAAATTAGAAAAATATTGCAAATAAATTCAAAAGGCATGGCCTGTGATCCACAGAATTCACTAATCCAGGGACATTTTAGTTCTGAGCTGTATGGATTAAAGAAATTCTACTCTGCAAGAACTTAAGTACCTTGTGTTTGAGAGTTTTTTGTAATTATGTGTGTATTTCTTATCACTGCTAAAATAATATAGTTTTGTACTTGGTTGGAGCACATAGGTTAATTAAGCGATAGTTACTGTATGCTAGCTGCTTCTATTCAGAAATCTTGGTTTGATTACCACTTACATGATTATTATTAAAACTATTATGGTCTTTATAAAAAAGATGATGTATTATTTTTAAAGCATAGTCATTTAACTCTGAAATATTAAAATACTAAATAAATAGCAGGAAACTATTAAAAATACTAGGATATGTAATCTTTGTTATTAAATAATGAAGACTGTGTATGTATGTGTATTCATATGTATATAATGTGTATGTATATACATGTGTAAGTACATACATACATTGTGGAAAGCAACAGCACCTAGAGCCACCAAATTTCAAATGCATACATTCCTCCATTTGAACACTATCTAATGTAAAGCTCCTATCTAATGTAAAGCTCCAGCTTCCATCAGCTGGAGGTTAAACTGTGAATGCAACTCCATTATCATTCATATTTTGGAGTAAAGTTTCTGGGGAGCCATCAAACATGGACAGCTTTTGATGTAGGATGTATTGCTTTTTGAAAATTTTCTTATTAGCAATATAAAAGTAAAGTAATTTTCCATTGTACATGTTCATCAAGATCTGTGAATGTTCAGATGCTGTTTTCATAGTAACTTGATGATCATTCGTGATTGTATCAAGCTCAGTGTTGATGTTTTTTCTGTATTACTGTCTTAGTTGCATATCCTTTCATGGCTCATCCAAATTGATTTTGCTTCCACTTATAAAAACAGCAATCCACTGTTTAACAGTTGCAGATAATGAGCTTCATTTTCTAACGTCTACAGCACGCCCTGGCAAATTTCTGTTACAATGACATGTTTCTGACAGAGGTTATGGATCATTCCCTCGGTACCATTTTCTTCTTTGACAAGTAATTTCCGACTTCAGAAAAACAGAAAAAGAAACATTAATTTTATAACATTTTGCAAAATTTTCAGTTATCTTACAAATAATAAGAGCACAGACATGCACTCTCTCATCATTTCCATTGACATCCAGGGAGCGTTCGACACCATCTGGTGGCCAGACATTATCAGCAGCTTGTCCTCTCTTTCCTGCCCTGGTGTGATAATAGATCTTATTAGAATTTACCTGGACAACACCAAAGAAGTCCAGATCACGCTGAATAATGACATCATCACCAAAAAAAAAATTACTCGTGGCTGTCCTCAGCGTTCATGCTTAGGTCTGACCCTGTAGAATTTAGCATTCCAGTGTTTCAACTTGCGAACATTGCATTCCAGTGTTTCAACAACCTTCACGAAGTCAAGATTCTGGCATGTGATGATGATTGTAGTGGGCCACAGTGACATCCAACAAAGATCGGAGGATTGTCTAGATATCTTTGTTCAATGGGCCAAGGAGCATAAACTTGAAGTAAGTGCAGAAAAAACACAAGCCATGATATTAGGACGTCGTCATCCCCTTAGGAGAAGAACCCATCTAAAACTACAGGGATATTCATTAAAAGAAGTCTCAGAAATGGCATACCTAGATCTCTCCTTTGATAATAAACTTTCATGGACTCCTCATCTTAAAATTCTCAGGCAGCGCATTGTGCAATCTCACTAACGGTATGAAACATACTGTAAGTATGAAATGGGGCATTCCGGCAAATCTCCTGAAATCTTGGTACAAAACCATTTTGAAATGCATTATTTTGTACGGAGCCTCTATCTGGGGTGAGAACCTCACTTCTACCACGAGGAAAACTTTTCTTTCCATACAAAGAAATCAACTGTTCATCTGTCAGGCCTATCGGACTGCTCCAATGTTTGCTCTACAAGTCATAGCAGGTCTTCCCTCTCTTGATCTTGTAGTCGAGAGGGAAGCCGCAGTGATAAGAGCTACAAAGCTTAATAAAAATACATCACTGTGGGAACAGAGCATAATCCACTCAGACCATGAAAAATACAAATCTCGTTATCTTTGTCATCCAGCACAATTTGATCTAATGAACACCATCCATATAAACTCAGATTCTCCAGCGAAAATGATCATGCATTATACACTGATGGATCTAAGACAGACGCTGGCACAGGATGTGGATTCTGCGAATTGGACAAAGGCAGCATTATCTTCTGGAAACGAAGACTGAAAGAAAGTAATTCAGTGTTTCAAGCAGAACTCGTAGCCTTACATGCAGCAACCAGCCACAGTCGTAGGAATGGTCGTAATCAAACTCATATATATACAGACACTGCCTCAAGCCTCCAAGCACTTTCAAGCATGCACAGCAGGAGCCCTCTGGTTCACAAAATACAGAGAACTCTCCTCGGTATCCCTATACCTTTTCGTCCTGTACTCTGTTGAGTGCCAGCACACATAGGAATACTAGGAAATGAAAGTGCAGACGTTGTGGCTAAAGAAACTGCCAGTAGCGCATCCTTACTTAAGTGTCCAACAACACTTCCAATCTCGCTGCTAAAGCATTCCACATGCAAACTTCTCATAAGACAATGGCAAACCCACTGGAATGATGCCACAACAGGGACGTACACACATTTAAGTGTAAGCATGGATCTGTAGAGCAAAACTGGCAGCATGTCACATTTCCTAACAGGACAAGTATCATACAAAGCCTATCTGCATAGGTTTGGTTTATCCAACACAGACATCTGCAACTGTGCGAAAGTGGGCAATCCAAACCACTATTACTTTGAATGCTGCTTGACGAAGTTCCATCTATAAAAACAAGCACCCATATTTCGTGCAGCATGGCGGAATAATTCAAAATAACAATGTTGCTCTATTGAAACTACATGCTATCACTACCTACTGCGCTGCAAAAATGCAGTAATCTGGAACAGCTCTCATCGCAGTCATTTCCCAAGTAACTAAATTATGGTTTCAGCTGCTGTAATATAAGTATTTAATTTTTTCTTTATATATATAACTATATATATAATGTAAAATATAAAAAATAGGACAGCTTTGCTCTTTACGAACCAGCAACCTTTAATTAACTTTCTGCGATTCAGGATCTTCCCCCTAGACCAGTAATTTCCAATATATTTGTGCCTGTTACATAACCGCTACTATAAATAACGAATGCTCACGTCTCCTCGTGCTATACTTCTCGCTGCTGCCTAACTAATCTTTCCTTTTGTTAGAATTAGTTATGATACAGAAAGTTTAAATTCAATCGTACTTTCGTACTTAGTTTAAATCACTTTGAATATGTAATTTGGAGAATTTCATATGAAGTAAAACATGATCTATGGTGAAAATTGAATTAAAGCTATGGAATAAAGATGTGTAATTAAAAGCTAAATCATCTTGTCTCGTCATTTGGATTTCACCTTACCACTCTGCAAAAGCAATGCCTGAACTTTAATGCCAAGCTTCATCACAACTGCTGCAAAATATCACACACACACATACATATATATATATACATATATTTTAAAAATTTTTCTTTTTATATATATATATATTTAACTGTTTTATTATAAAAATCTTTGTTCTCTCGAATCAACTTCTTGACATATACAAATATTTGTACCATCTGGTGTGTAATACATTTTATACGTTAGCTAACTTTTGTAATATAGTGTTCATTCCAAATATAAATATGCCAATTTAACACATGAATACCAATAACAATGTTGCATAATATCATTTATATATATCTGTAGTGTAAAAATCTTTCTTTGACATTGATTGTCATCACTTAAATGTAGCATATTTGACTTATTTATACACCAAATGCGGTATTCATTTAATGCACTGCCAAATGCATATATGTGTATACATATAAAATTTCCCTTATATGAGTATATAGTATTGAATTATGTTATATGAATGTTCACATGTAATACTGTGCTATTTAAAATATCTTGTAACAAAAGAAAACAAAATGAACAACAGGCCTTGTATGCCAATGTAACTGATTTCCACAGAAATGACGTTCAATTCCGTACAAACTAGGATGGATGTCATCTTTGCAGTGTATAGTATAGTATGGTCATCTTACAAAATTTCAATACCTGTCACTGTTTCTTTCGGTGAGGTTCAAAACTTTTCATCCTTCTTAAATATGATTCTTTTGAATGAATATGATGAACATGCCTTAGCATAATAAATTATAGCAGTAGTAACAGTAATGGTAAAGCTTATTTCGACTTTGTCTGCAAATCCATGAGTTAATATAATTAGACTTGATGTGAAGCTTTTCAGAAAGTATACCTTTGAATAAAATTTTACTATGTGTGTGTGATTATGGCAAAGCCTCAAGGGCTATCTGCTTAAAGGGAGGAATGCCTTCGTGGAGGACTTTCTAAGGGAAACTGGCTCATATACATGTTACACATGGGGGAAAACCACGAAAACGGCCATGCAGCCAGCCCGTTCGCGGGATTCGAACCGCGGACCGAACTACCAGTGTTCAGCAACTTTACCACTCAGCTGCTGGTTGGCTAAAATTTTACTAAGCTGTACATATATCATTCAAAATTTATTTTGGTCAAAATATCTTTTTTTCAATTTTATTCTGATTACTAAGCCAAATTTTTTATGTTTCTGTACCACGGGCAACAGCTCATGATTCCTGTCCCTTACTCGAATACTTCTTTTCACGTCAGGTTTCAATAGATAGTGAAATTTCCTTTAAGGCTGGATTATCTGTGCATAATGTTAAACATCTATTACATTGTTGTAAAAAAAAAATAAAAATAAAAAAAGGACTACACCTTAGAAGCATGGATTGGTTGCTCCTGAGCAGTAGAAGAGAACATTGATGATAGGATAAATGTGTAATACTGACATTATGATATATTGGTCACTAATGTTTTTGGTTAAAGTTAGGATAAATTAAAAAAAAAATTTCTCATGAAAGAATTTCATTTCATTGTCTCATATCTGATATTTTATAGGACTTGATACATTTAAATAACATTGTATAAATATTATTTATGTAATAATCTGCCATTTTTCTTTCCCTAGTACAATGTAATTGTTGATACCTCTCAAGATGGTCAAGAAATTATAACTCGAAAATTGGTTTTAGAAGTTGATCCTGTGTCTAAGGAAGAAACAGTGGAAGTTCATCCTGATTTAATAGAAAAATTAAAACCACATCAAGTAAACGGTTTGTTAAGAACTTTTATTCTATATTTTATAAAATTTATCCATTTATTATTACTATTAGGTAGTTGAGAAAGTTCTGCCTATTTAGAATTACGGCACGTGTATTTATTTTGTTTGAAATTAAAACTCATTCCTGCAAAAACAAATTATTGTGTGAAAAGAGTAACTTCTGCTGATGTTATGAAGATTTCCAGAGTAAAAATTTAATTTGAAAATTTTGTAATGTTAATTGTCCTGGCTCAAAAAGTTTTGTCGTTCTATGTGAAGCCTTTTTTTTTTTTTTTCAAGAGCATAACTCCATGGTAAAAAAATATAGCAGTATCTATAGTGTAGAGTGAGTAAAATAGGGTAAAAAATTTGCAAGCTAGCTATTATTCTTTGAGAGTTTAGTCAAGACATATGAGACGCCAAATTTTTCAAAAAAAAAAAAAAAACTAGGTTTGGCATGGCCAGGATTACACTTTCAGTACTTCAGTGGTTGTGGTTGGGAGGGAGACTAGGCCAACATTAGATATCTTGTCACCTTGTGCAATCTCTGCACGTCCTAAATTTTGTTGCCGAATGACTCTCCTATATTCTAAAATTTCTGTTATCCCTAATTTTTGCTATTGATGTTCCTCTAAATTATAAAATTTTTGCCGCCCATAAATTCTAACACCCAATGTGGCCACACAAGTTGCAGTTGCTCTGGCACCAGTTTTTTGGTGGATCAGGATTATTCTACCCGAATAATAAGTGAAGCTCCAAGCCCCGGTATTGCCATGTTATTAAATTTAAACTAATTATCAAAAATCCAGAATAATCAAAGTAACCAATGAATCCCGTATTTAAAAAATTTAATGAGCAAAAAGAAAATGAATTTATTAATTGACCAAAATTATGTACTTTAGATGCCCAATTAAATAAAAGCGAGGCAAAATTATTAGCTGCTTGTTCATATATAATAGATGAGTTTCCTGTAAATGATCAATTATTAAAACACGCTGAGGTTCCTGAGATTAACCTGAAAACTAAAGTTTAATTTTTCCAATTCATTTTAAGGTGAATAGTTTTCTGCCTGTTATTGATGAAACTTACCTTAAAAGTAAAAAATTATGTATATCAAGTAAATAATTTAAAAGTTCCAAATGTTATAAAACTAAAAATTATGAATGGGTCCATTAAATACAAAGTGAATCCAACTGCATTTTGACCAGATTTAGATACAAAATTGCCTAAAGCAGTTGTTTCTATCATTAAATAATGATATCTGTGTGTGTAATCTTTGCATTGTGGAAAAATGTCAGCACATTGAACAACTAACTTTTAAACACTCATAGCCCTCTACCCAGACATGTGCACTTTAAAGCCTAAATTTTAGATTTTTCACTTTGGTTTTTATTTTTGAGATTTTTCTTTTTCAAATTTGGTATTTATATTTAAAAATTCACTTGGCATGAGAGCTTATGCCTACCAGAAAACCTTTTCCATTTAACATTTGGGTTGATGGTGTATATGACTGCTTAGTAAGACTGCATATTCTGCCTATTCTATCTTGAGCAGCGGCACATATGATGTTTTTCTACAAGATATTCTGCTGAAATTTCTTTCCAAAGTTCCACCACCTCTTTGCATACAAATGCTGATGCAGCATGATGAAATGGTGGTTTACTTTTAGGAGGAACATCAGAAATTACCTCCATGCTATTTATAGTCCCTGGATTTGGCAAAGTGGACCAGTTCTTTGGCCATTTCTAACCAGATCTGATATGCATAGATTTCTTCATTTAGAACATTGAAAAGCAGGATATATAAAAGTCTCATTGAATCCAGTGAAGGCTTAGTAGCCAGACTGTTAGTTACTGCTGGAAATGTGCATGAAATGCCCGAGGTATGCTAATCTGTGTCCTGCCATTGCAAATGTTGTATTACTCTTGGTTGTTGCACTTTTGAGCACCTTTTGAATTTGAATCATTAAAATATTTATTTCTTTTTACTTTATTTTTCTTCTAAATTACTTGTTGCACAAGGAAGATATGAAAAAAAAAAATTCTTTTTGTGCCAATAAGGTACCATCACTTCATACCAACTGTCACAGCAAGTCTTTACCTTTTTTCAATCCAAATTTCTTTTCGATGGTGGTAACGAACCTTCACAGCATAAACTATAAAAAGAGTAGGTTGAAGTCATGCGCTCTCTTTTTCCTCCCCTTGCCTCACCTTCTAGTGTGTTCTGTGGAATTGACAATGAGGCCTTCAAGAACTGGGTAATTTTTCTCCTGATGCTTCGTCATGAAATATTTTGTGCGAGTGGTAAAGACGTGATAATGGTGTTGGAATATATAGTTATTTCTCTTCTTCATCTACTCCTATGATCTATAGGCACCCTGTTCGACAAGATCAATTAGCATATGTTGTGATGTTCATTGATATATTTCCAGTCAGATTTTTCAGACAAGGGCATGCGATCAAGCCATGTCGGCAGACTTTTCCTCGTGCTTCTTCAAGTGATCTTTTGAACAGCGGGATACTTTTTGCCCTCATCTTGCGCTAATTGCCTTGCTAGTATGACATCAAAAAATGACACATGTATTTAGTGATGTTTTCAAGTTTCACATTTTTTTTTCTTCTTGTGTATATATCTCATGGATGAATTTGTGAAAGCCATTGTGACTGAAGCCATTATTTCTTTGTAATGCCAATATTTCTATTGCAATTTTAGATTTGAAATAAAACTGGTTTTTCACAGCTAAAATTTGTGCTGAGCATATTTTGTTACTATACATGGATAAGACCATTTCATTTTACTTAATTTTTGGTTATTAGTCACACCACAAAATTATCTTCATATTATAACTTATTGGGTTATTGCAGTCACAGTATTAGTACTATTATCTGAATATTCTTCCTTTGCCTTATTACCGACCATTAATTTAGTACTACTTCATTATAAATCATCTGGGTTATTGTAGTTAACATTTAGCACATTTAATATAACACCAACAATGTGCCAACAAATTGTACATACAGCATGAAGAATTGAAGACATGAAGCATGAAGAAATTTCATGTACAATTTCTGTATACACATAAAATCTGTTTATTTTGATCCCTTATCACATTTAAGATTACCCTGTATATGAGTTAAACATCTTTTTCCAAATCATTGTAATTCTTATTAATTTAGAAATCAAACAACAAAAAGCTCAATGGTCTTTTGCAGCTGAGAATGATGTTTCGGTAAGACCATCGAAACTTCCCGTGAAAATTTGAAAATATAATGCTGATTTTTGTTGTTTGACTTCTAAATTAATATTTGTTTGGCATTTAATTGTATCTTAATCATTGTAAGTCTTAGTTTTTACATTTTATTTTGAAATACTATAGAAGTAATATTTGTTATGAATGATGTACTATTATAAATTCAGGGTTTGTACGGTCCTTTAAAGTCCTTGGTTTTTTTTTTTTTTTTTTTAATTGATTTTTTTGCCCTTAAAAACCCTTAATTTTCATCATATGAAATTTCTGTTTTCATGACTGCCATTTTCAGTGTGAATTAACATTTTGGATTTTTGGTGATTCATTGGCAAATATCTTTTTTATGTGTGAATAGGTTCATGGAATATGTTGTTTCTATTTCTAATATAAACAGTGGGATACTTAAATTTCTGAACAAGAAATGAAGCATAAGCATTTCAAAGTTATTTCATTTTTTCTAGTGAAGAGTTCTTAAACAACTGTTCACTTTTGAGAATGTGGATAATTTAATAAATGGTTCCAAATTTGGCGTCTTATCAACATTTTGGCGATTTTAAGATAAATTTTTATAGAAAATTTCTTTCAACAATATTTTTTAAAACATTATAACATTGATTAATTTTATTAAAATTGCCAATATATTGAAATTGTATTTGTAAAATGTAAAGTTTGTCCATTATGTGATAGTTCTTTTTTTTTAATCTTACTTATGTTTTTGAATGGTTTAGATGCATGTTTATGTACTCTGTATGTATTTCTTTCATTTGCTTCGCTGTGATGAGTTGCTTTACCAAGTAAATTCAATTTTTATAATGTTCTTAATGCCCGTCCACATGAGTACGCTCGCGACGCAGTTGACGCAACTTTTTTGATGCCGGCGTAAATTCGCATGACGCAGAATACATAAAACTGAGTTCGCTCCTGTTCAGCTTTTTCGTCCGCGACTCGCGTGTATAACCAATAGCCGACCGAGTTCTTATCACTTGTCATAATCAGAAAACCTTCTTGCTTACCTGTTTCAATATGGCATCAGAACCACACAGAGATGAGTTTTTGCTTAGAAATATCATAACTGTATACAGCAATAAAATAATCAGCATTGTTCACACCATCTTCAGATTTCTCAAACCATATATATTGGTATAAATTTAAAATTCTCATTAAAGGGGAAAACTGTATATTTATAAAGCAATGATCCGACCAGTATATCCATATGCTTCACCTATTTATAACACCGTAAGTAATAGGAACCTAAATAAATTACAGTTTCTACGAAATCAAAGTTTCTGCCTTACAAAATTCTCCTTAATTACTATAAATATTGCCTATATCATGTGTAATAGATAGCTCTATAAATATCCTAATATTAAATACACCAAAAACTAAATTCAGCAATATAACAACTTCTAAAATAAAGCAGTGGACTGTGAAAGAGTATTCAATAAAATACAATTATGAAATTTTGGAGGAAAGTTACAACTTGTGTCATACAGCAATCATTTATTAAAGTTTAATTAAATTACCTTTGCAGCGACTTCTCCTTGTTACATTATTTTTCATAAATACTACTATCACAGATAGCTGAGTGGTCAGCGCACTGCTTTGCAAATGGAAAGGTGGCAAGTTCGAACCTCACCCGTAGACAGCATATAATTCAGTTAACTTTTCTCATTTTGAAACGTGTTTTTTATATTTAATCATGAATCATTATATTCTTATTTTACCTATTATTGTTGTTTTCATTTCTTATTTTATTCATTATTATTATTGTTTTTAATTTAGTTTAAAAATGTGCATTGCAAATAGAAATCCTTATGTAATAATATATCTGTATCTCTTTATCATATATCATCTATAAATTCTCTCTTTATTTTTACTTTATTGCATATTTTATCATGTACATAATTTCTCATAAACTGTCCAAAGTTTGAACCTCATTCTAAATTCAAAAATAAATAAAACGAAAAACAAAAGACCAATTGAGGGGGAATTAAAAAAATGTGAAGTTGGTTTTATTATATGGTGGATGGTGTATATAAAGAGAATTAAGTAATTTAATTCTCTTTATGTATTGTATTCCAAACCAATTTTATAAATCCTAATTTTCATACAATATCGAATCTGCAAGTCTGTCAAACTGGTTCTGAAGTAATTAAAAAGCAAGTAATATATATATATATATTTTTTTTAAAATTAAGTCAATTCCTACTTGGTCCACAAAAAAAATTAAAAATACAAAAAAAAAAAATAATAATAATAAAAAATACAAACAGAATTTTTTTTAATTAAAAATTTAAAAAAAAAAAATTTAATATGTGAAAAAGCTAAAGCTGTATTAACATGAAGTGTCATTCACTACAAGTTTAAAAAATTATATTTGAACTTGAGTGGGGGAATAAAAAGCATTTTATGTACTGAAAATTTGAACAAGATATAGGGAGAGTGTGAGCTAATAGTAGGAATTTAATAATTCCGGATATTCATTTTGCAAACAAGGCAGTCAAAAAAAAAAAAAAAAAAAACCTCTTTGAACAGGTTGCTCTAAATAAATCTTTTGGACCCATTCTTGCCATTTTTTGCGGTTGTGCCTCTGCTTAATAATTGCACTTAATAGTAAAGTTTCAGCTATAAAAAAAAAAACATCTGATTCGGACAACTTGCGGCAAACATACAGAAGCACAGCGAAAGTAAGTAAGTAATAAGATACAGCTCTGTTGACGCTATATTACAGCGTCACGTGATTTTTGCGCAAAATAATTCTATTGGTTAAATGCACTCTTCGCAAGCGTACTCGCTTGGACTCTTTTGCGCTGGTAACGTAAAAGCACGTTCGTCAGCTACGTTTCGAGCGTACTTGTGTGGACGGGCCTTTAGTCATTTCATTCTTGTAGTTACTGCATAATATTAAATTATTGATATTAATTTAATATGCTTAGTGAAGGAAATGGTAGCATTTGGTCGTGTAAAGTGAATTTAAAATTGTTTTCCGTTTGGGACAGTGCCTTGTGTTGAAGACTGAATTTATGTAACTATTTGTATAACATTCTAAAAGAAGTCCTAGAAAAATAGTCAACATGATTTTGTTGTAGACCATTAATGTTTTATTTTTTTCACTTTAAGAAAAATTTTTGAGTTATGAGAAACCATACCATAGTTCCTTTGTGATAGCTAGTAATGTGACTCATGAAAAGTTATGATACAAGTATTTCAGCAGTCTGAGTTGTAGTCCTTAAATGCCAAGCATGTCTTGTAAAGTACCATGCAGATTTGCTTCTGCTTTGTTGTTAACAGAATATTGTAGACTTTCTCATATAGCCAAAACTTCTTTCAAAATGTGCTTATTCTCTTGCTTCAACATTCATGGATAATGATTGTTTTTTTTGTTTAAAGACTTTATTAATCACTTGATCATTACTCGTTATCGAGGGCCTGCGCTTGCCAGAATGTAATTTTCTCTCCATTGCCATTTTGCCGTCTTCGAAGCATTTATACCACTTCTTAATTTTGTTATGCAGTGGCATCATCACTAGAAGTTTTCTAAATTTTCTGATTATTCTCACTTAGTAGTAAAATATGGTATAATTCTACTGCTTCAGTTGTATCATCATTTCCAAGATGCTGACACTCCAATGAGCATTTAATTGCACTTTCTTAAAACACATGTCAATGCAGGTGATAGGTGCTGTCTGCAAGAGAAAAATTTGTGTCTGCACATGAGAGTGCTCATTGTCTATTTATCAGAAGCTATTTTTGATACAAACAGTGTTGGATACTTTTTGAATTGATCTTCATTTTCCTGAATTTTGATATTTTTAGTATTAAAGTGTTTTTAATCTAAATTTTCGTGCCATTTTTTATTTCTATATGCATGCATTTAACATGAGTAAAATTTTGTGCATTAGTTATCATTCGATTTAATCATATCAATTTTTTATGATTTTTTTTACTGCAAATTTTTAATAGGCTTATATTTTCTTTGCAAATTCAGGAGTGAAATTTATGTGGGAATGTACCATTGAATCTCTTAAAAGTCTGGAAACAAAACCCGGATCTGGTTGTATTTTAGCTCATTGCATGGGCCTTGGGAAAACTTTACAAGTTATTGCTTTCTTGCATACATGTTTAACCAATAAATATGTCAATAAGAAGATAAAAACAGCAATGGTTATTTGCCCTTATAATACCGTATTAAACTGGTCCAAGGAATTTGAAATTTGGACAGAAGGTATTGATGGACAAATATTGGTAAGCAGTATATTATCTTTAATTTTATAAGTAATACTTTTGGCCTTAATTTAACTATTTGTACATAATTTTATATATTAAAAGTATTTGATTATTCAGTTCACCTGTTTTTGCTGTTTCTAGTTTGTCCCCTTTCATCACTTTTAGCTGCTCTTCACTTTAATTTTAAAATTATTTCTGAAAATGTAAGTGCACATCTTACTGACAAATCAGAAAATTCAGTGAAATTTTGATGCATGATTATATTTATTTGTTCTTAGTATTATTTTATGTGGGACAATTATTTTATGCAGGACATTTTCAATTCATAGTAGATGTTGTATAGGGTGTCTCAACAAAACCATTGGATTTAGTGTACAAAAAAGTGCATTGTCTTCAGAAAACATAAAATATTTTAACATATCTACAACAGGTAAATGTTTCAATTTAAGAATGAAGAATAATGTACTGCATATGTCTTCTGCAACTTGCTCTGAAATTCCACACTCTCTTGATGAAATTCATTATTCCTTTTTCATATATCTGCCTATCAAAGTGGCTAATGATGCATTTAATATTTTTGGGGGGGGATTCTCATCAAAATAGGATTTTTTGAGATCTACAATAATACAGTCACACAAAACAGCAATATTTTCAACAGCTAGACTGAGAGCGTGTTGATTTACTGTCTGCTATTTCTTCACCAATCTGCGATTTGTTGTTTAATTAGGTGCAATTTTACATCCAAAGATTGCATGAAGCTCCCTAACAGTCTGTGTATAACTAGACTTTCTTAAACAGAAGCTGGCGGCTGACAATCACCGTTGGCCACCCACTACTTTACTTAAAAGTATATGTGCTTTTAAAGATTTACTAAAAGAATGGTTTCTTCTAATAATGTAGATACATATTATTTTCATTTTATTTTACTTTATATAAATATTATATGTATCTTTATTATATGCAGCTTAAGTGTCTGTTTGTCACCGATAGTTTATTGGTTGCTTGCGTAACTGTACTAGCCAATGGGGTCAAGTTGCCACGGCATTTAAATAGTCCATATACACTTATACCATACATGCAGTTATCATTGTTTTAATTAAATTATCATGGTACTTAAGAACATTTAAATATTTTTAATTCATACAATTATTGCTTATTATGCTTTTAACTATATTTACATATGCAGAGTTGCCAACTCTCCCGATTTTCGACCGCTCTCCCGCCAACCCGATTTACAATATATTTCTCCCGACTTTTTCTTATCTTAATATTTCTCATGATTTTTATGGAACTGGCTTAATACTTCGTATATGAACAAAAAAAAAAAAAAAAAAAAAAAAAAAAAGTGAGTTTTGGAGTCTGAAGCAACTGGATTTTCTCTAGATTATATCTAAAATAAAACCTTGCGAATCAGATGAGAATTTCTGCTTTGTGAGTGAGAGCATACGTATCCAGAAATGTTATTCTCCAGTTCTCTAATGGGCATCGAGCTCCCCTGCGTGTCATCTGGCATATATTAGCCAATGAGCTCAAAGCAAGCTCAAGGCTGTTATTTGGATGTTCTTTACTCTTTAGTTATTTCGTTCATCTTGTTCTGAGTTGTGTGAGTACACATGCCTTCGGGAAATGGTTTTAGAAATTACGTCTTTTGTTATGTGTGCGAGGAAGGTGAAATACTTGTGTACGCTTCAAAAATTGTACACAGTTGACTTTCCTTCCATTATTCTTCAAGGAAATGTAATAAATTTGCGATGTGTACCATCTGTCGTTGCGATTTTTCGATTTTACATGGTGGAAGGGCAGATGTTCTCAAACATGTGCGTACACAAAAACACAAGGACAACATGAGTTGTTTTGAAAAAAACGAAAAATTAAATTTTTTTATATATTAAACTTGCATGCGCATAAAGTTTGTAGCTTTTAGGTCCAGATCATGGGCGTCCGGATTAAAGACTTTGTACTGTGCAAAGTTTAATTGTGATCCTCTTTCTGCATATGATTCCAATTTATGTACATAGTTATGTATATTTGTTTCCATTTTTCTTTATAATTAATTAGCAGTATATCCATTCCTTGGTCAGATGATAAGAAAACCAATTACCAAGGAGAAAATATTAATTCTAAAAATTCAGAAAACTGGTCAAATAGATTCTTTTTTGAAATGTACTTTACCTTGTTTATTATTGACTACAAAAATAAGTTTAAAAGTCTTGATCAAAATTCCGGTTTTTGGCATTAATATCCGTGTAAAATAAAAAGAAAATTTTATTGTGGTTTTTCTGTTATTCTGTATTATTGCTTCTTTAATAATTTTTTCTAATCCTATTTTAATATAATGTAATGAGAAATATCCACGAAAAGATAGCAAAAGAAATGCTTGCTAAATTTTTTTTATAATAATTTTTAATGCAAATGTATGTTTTTTCTGCTCTTAAGACTCTTTTGCTATGTATATTAAATCTGAAGTAAAAATATAACAAGAAAAGCTTAATGGAAACACATGAACACCCAAAGTAATGTGCATTACAGGAATAAATGGGAAATCATATCTTTCAGGGGACGTAATACAATATTATGCATGTATAATAATAAGGTAAAGAAAATTAATTACTTGAACAGCCTTGGTGTGCACAGGGTTCGTACGGTCCTTAAAAGTCCTTAGGTTTTTTTGGAATCTATTTTTAGTCCTTAATTTTGGCCAAAATCGGCATAAGGTCCTTGATTTTAACCATTTGAAATTTCTGTCCGTTTTTACGACTGCCATTTTGAGTGTGAATTAGCATTTTAGAGGAATATACTTTGCGATTCACTGACAAATATGGTTATCTTTTGAATGGGCTCATGGGTTTTAATTTGTTCCTATTTCTAATATAAATTGTAGGATACTCGAGTTTCATAGTGAAACATCAGCATTTCGAAATTGTTTCATTTTTCTAATGAAGAGCTATTAAACAAATTTTTGCTTTTGGAGATGTGAATTCTTCTACGAATCAGTTCTAAATTTGGCGACTTATCAACGTTTTGGCAATTTTAAGATCAGTTTCTATAGAAAATTTTTAATTCCAAGATGTGGGAATTTTTGGACGGTTTTTTTTAAACATTGTAACATTGATAAAAAATTTTTAATTCCAAGATGTAGGAATTTTTGGACAATTTTTTTAAAACATTGTAACATTGATAAATTTCATTAAAATAATGGTAATATATTGAAATTATATTTAAAAATAATGTTAAAAACATTTTTAATTTTTGCTGTCATAATATAAAATTCCATTCTGACCACTTATTATACAAAATTTTTTGAATCTGAAAAATAAACAAGGTATAATGCTGTAAAGTGCAATTTACAAACAGTTCTTAGCAAAAGCAAAATATCTATGTAATGAACTAAAAATGTTTTATTAATTTTTTAAGGTAAGAGTTTTTCCCATGTAAGTTATCTCTAAATATTCAGAATACGCACCAGTTTTCTCTATAAAATTAATTCTACACCTTTTTCCCTCTGATTTTTTCCTCGAAATATTTTTGGCTTTTTGCTGCTACAGAATTGGTAGGTGTAATTTTTCTTCAAGATTTTAGACATTGCGGCTTGGAAAGTTTAGAAGGATTTAAAGGAAAGATTTATAGACCTATGATTCTAGAAGATTCCAGAAAAATATGACGAAATTAAGAATGTCTCCATGGTATTAACACATAATTTATGTGTTACTTGAAGTTTGTGCTGAATTTCTTACTTTTTATAGAACGTCTGGAAGAACAATGAAAACATAACATTTGAATGTTTTACTTCTGATTACTAGAATCATTTTCTTAGCTTGTTTATATTCCCTCTATTTTCTCTACTTTTTTACTAGACACAAACATGGAAAATATCAAAAATGCTTTGAATCTTATCACATGGACAGGGATTACAAAAAGGAATTTTTCTATTAATAAAGAAATTGAACACTGACAATTTAAAAGATTCATCTTATATGTCTCAATGCATCATACACAGGGCTGGCACTAGGCATTTCCTTCCTGTTACTATCACCTGTGGATCCTAAATTCTGCCGCCTAGTGCCCTTTTGAGTTCTGCTTCCAGTGCCTGCTCTAAATTCTAAAAGTTTTGCTGTTACTAGATTTTGTTGCTCGGTGTGTCACTTAATTCTAAAAATTTTGCCACAATAGCTCCGTAACCAGCCTTTATCATATATATATTTCATATTTCTTCTGACTGTTCAGATTATAAAGAAATAAAATTAGCAGCTTTTTTTTCTATACATTCTAAATGTATTTAGTTTTTTTAGAATAACAGAAATCTTTAATTAAATCCTGTAATTCTAAAATAAAAAGGAAACATGTTGAAGAAAGAAAGTGAATACATGAAGAGAAAGAAAAGCAAAAAAAGGGGGGGGAAGAAAAGAAAGGAAAAAAAAAAAGGCGATAGTTCTATCTATATGTTCTGTTCTACTGGGCTAATTGATGAAATTCAAATTGCGTTTTTCATGTTTCGAAAGCATGACTTAGGATATATATTATACATAGCATTGTTCTAATATAAGTATTTTGAAACAAAATCATACTTCTTCTAAAATGGCATGCCAAATTTTTTCCATATTTCGAATCAAGATGCAAATTATGCCAAACTACCAAGTTTTGTAAAAATCGCACAAGTTGTTTTTAAAGAATTAGCTCTTCACTATTAATTGAATTTGGTATATATTTGTTAATATCTCTTTTTTTTTTTTTTACTAAACGTTTTTTATTCTTTTTTTCACATTTCGAAATTTAGGCCCATTTCAAATAAAATTCGCCCATTTTTTATGTTTTATTTTTAAAATTTGTTGTTTTTAAATAATTTTTATAAATTTTTTGGCAAAAAATTTGACTATAAAATATTTAACATCATCTCAAATCATGAAAATAACAACATCTGTCAACCGACTCAAATTATACCTAAATATTAAATTTTGTAAAATTTAGTGTGTAATTTATGGAGAATAAGTAATTAGCAATTCAAAAATTTATCTTTCCCT